GTTGATGGAGATGAGGGGACAATGGGGTTGATGGAGATGATGGAACAATGGGGTTGATGGAGAAGGTGGAACAATGGAGTTGATGGAGATGAGGGGACAATGGGGTTGATGGAGATGATGGAACAATGGGGTTGATGGGGATGAGGGGACAATGGGGTTGTTGGAGATGAGGGGACAATGGGGTTAATGGAGATGAGGGGACAATGGGGTTGATGGAGAAGGTGGAACAATGGAGTTGATGGAGATGGAAACGATGGGCCTCCAACCCATGGAGCTGGAGGTGATGGAGATGGCTGATGGGAAAGTGGAGATGGAGATGGTAGGGATGATGGAGATGAGAATGATGGAGCTGGAGATAGGCATGATGGAGTTGAGGATGAGGATGATGGAAGTGAGTAGATGGGTGCCTTTGGGTGCCCCTTGACCACGTTCCCTGCCAGCAGATCGAGGAGATCGAGCGGGAGATCATCAAGCAGGAGGAGAACGTGGACCCCGACTACTGGGAGAAGCTGCTGCGGCACCACTATGAGCAGCAGCAGGAGGACCTGGCCCGGAACCTGGGCAAGGGCAAGCGCGTGCGCAAGCAGGTCAACTACAACGATGCGGCCCAGGAGGACCAAGGTGGGCACTGGGATGGACTGGGATAGACTGGGAGGGCACTGGAAGGATCTAGGAGGACCTGGCACCCAACCTGGGCAAGGGCAAGTGGGTGCACAAGCAGGTCAACTACAGTGATGATGCCCAGGAGGACCAAGGTGGGCACTGGGATGGACTGGGATGGACTGGGAGGGCACTGGAAGGATCTAGGAGGACCTGGCACCCAACCTGGGCAAGGGCAAGTGGGTGCACAAGCAGGTCAACTACAGTGATGATGCCCAGGAGGACCAAGGTGGGCACTGGGATGGACTGGGAGGGCACTGGAAGGATCTAGGAGGACCTGGCACCCAACCTGGGCAAGGGCAAGTGGGTGCACAAGCAGGTCAACTACAGTGATGATGCCCAGGAGGACCAAGGTGGGCACTGGGATGGACTGGGAGGGCACTGGAAGGATCTAGGAGGACCTGGCACCCAACCTGGGCAAGGGCAAGTGGGTGCACAAGCAGGTCAACTACAGTGATGATGCCCAGGAGGACCAAGGTGGGCACTGGGATGGACTGGGATAGACTGGGAGGGCACTGGAAGGATCTAGGAGGACCTGGCACCCAACCTGGGCAAGGGCAAGTGGGTGCACAAGCAGGTCAACTACAGTGATGATGCCCAGGAGGATCAAGGTGGGCACTGGGATGGACTGGGATAGATTGGGAGGGCACTGGGAGGATCTAGAAGGCTTTGAGAAGGTACTGGGAGGTTCTGTTGGGTGCTGTTGTGTATTGTTGCGTATTGTTGGGGTGCTGTTGGGTGCTGTTGGGGTGCCATCGGGTGCTGTTGGGTGTTGCTGGGTGTTGTTGGATGCTGTTGGGTTCTGTTGGGTGTTGCTGGGTGCTGTTGGGATGCTGTCAGGTGCTGCTGGGTGCTGTCAGGTACTGTTGGGATGTTGTTGGGTGCTGCTGAGTGCTGTTGGGTGCTGTCAGGTGCTGCTGGGTGCTGTTGCGGCACCATCGGGCACTGTTGGGTGTTGTTGGGGCGCCATTGGGCGCTGTTGAGTGCTATTTGGTGCTGTTGGGGCACCATCAG